GGGGGCGGCTATGGTGGAAGCAGAAGGTGTCTCGAGGGCTCATGGGCCAGCAACCCAGAGAAGGCGGCTTCACATACCGGGCTGAGGAGTTTTGTCTTTCACCTGGTGACAGAGGGGAGCTATAAGAGGTTTCAGAGTAGGGGAGGCCTTGATAAGAGTCTTGATTCAGAAGGCGCACCCTGGCACTCGGCGTTGAAAGTGGACTGTGTAGCAATGGCTGCTGCAGGGGTCCAGGAGAGAGGGACGGTGTGTCACCCCTGCCAGTGCCCCAGAAGGCCAGCAGGTGGATTGGAAGGATAGTATGACAGGAAAAGCCACTGGCCTTGGCAAATTGGCAACAGATGGAAGAGAGGGAAGGAGGCAGAAAAGGGAAGACCGCCCTTGCTTGCCATCTGACTCCTCACTGATGGTCTCAATAACACGTTGAGGTAAGTGTTGCATCCCCATTTTACAGGTGAGCAGACTGCGGCTCAGAGAGGGCCTTCTGACTCCAAATTCTGAATTCTTTCCATTGGCTCAAGTATTTTGCTAGCCTGTGGGCCCACAGAGAACATGCAGCTGAGCTGCTCTTCTTGGAGCAGCTTCTGGTGTAGAAGCCTTAGGGTGGCAGGGGAGGGGCTGTCTGGGGTCAGGAGCGGATACAGATCTGGGATCCAGCTCAAAGGGATAGAGGAGGGAGGAGTAAGCCACAAGGACAAATCATGGATGTGATGAGAAAATGGAAGAATTCATTTGTATCAGACCCGCAGGCTTAACCCTGACAGTGCCTGTGAACCCAGCTCTACCCCAGGCAAGTGTCTCCCTCCTCCCGCAAGGTTCCATATGCTAGGGGGAGGAGATAGTGGCTATCAAGTCATCAAATTTGAAAGGAGCCATCTACCTGTTTCCTGTCTTCTTTATGAGCACATAGATACAAAAAGTCCCAGTCAGTATTACACAGGCTACAACAGATCACATGCTCAGCCACAGACACATACTCACACAAGCACACACACAAGGCCTTGCTCACATATGGTCACACACAGTCACACGGAACCAGAGGACTGTTCCAGGAAGGCCTCTGCCTATGAACATCACTCAGGCATGGCAAGGTTGGGAAGTGTCCTTGGACGTCTTTAATGCCATTGTCTGGGACAGGAAGTTGCCTTTCTGACCTTTGGGGGATGTGGGCTGAGAGTGTGCCATCCATCCACCATGAGGCCATCTCAGGCTTGCCTCTGGGGTAGGGTGACCAGAGGGTGCTCAGGCCAGCTTTGGAGTGCTTCAGAAGAGACAGTGTGCCCACAGGAAGAGCAGGCATGCCTAGGGCAGATCTGGGTTCCCATCCTCTTGCCAGCCTTGCTCACTGGCTTTGACCTTGGGCAAATCACTTCACCTGAGTAGGCAATGTCCAGCCATAAAAGGTAATGACACCAACCTCACAAGACACCTGGGTATGCTCACTCAGATAATGACTGTCAAGTGCCAGGCAAGGACCTGGCAAATGTGGCAATAACCATCGTGTTTGTGACAGCCACAGGAGTTGGTGTATGCGTGGAGACAAAGCCTGCTCAGGCTCAGAGGCAGGGCTGGGGAGGGGAAGTGTAGCTGCCCAATGGCAGAGTACGTGGCTGGCTGGACCACAGCCCTCTCCATGCTTGCAGAAACCATGCCAGCCCCCAGCATTAGCTGGCCCCAGAAGAGCCTGAGGAGCCTCAGAGTGTGGGGTTGACAGTGGGCACCTTCTCCCACCTAAGCCCTGAAGCAGGGGAGCCGTAGGCACCAGGAGGCTGGGACAGGGCAGCTGGCTTAAGAGGCAGCTCTAGAGTGAGCCCCAGCAGCATGTGGCTGAGAACTAAAGTCTCTTTGGCTCCCTCCAGCAAGCTCTGACACAGGATAGGAGGACCACAGATTCTAAGGACTGCCTAGTGGAATCCCTACCTTTCTTTGGCGCGGCGGGGGGGGGGGTGGCTGCAGAGAAAGGGAGCATAGCCCCAAGAGTAAAGGAAATCTAAAAGAGGAAAGGTGCACAGCTGGCAGCCCCGCCCCCTGGTGGCCACAGGCACTCACTGCAGCCTCACTGCAAAGCGGCTTTGGCTTTGTTCTAAGGCCCTCACTCTGCCTGGTCGCTAAAGGGAACGGGGCCTGAGCCAGCACAGTATGGTGGTGAATGGTGCAGTCAGCTTACTGTTGCTATTACTATTATTACCTCTACCACTTACAAGCTGGCTGACCCTGGGCAAGGGACTTCATTTCTGTGGCTCTGCAAGATGAAGTTGATGATAACTATCTACCATACAGTTATTTCAAAGAGTAAATATGATAATCCACATCAGGTGCTTAGGATAAGTGATACTAAGTAACAGGAACTTAATAATGAGTAGCTGTCCAATTCCGTACTTCTGCGGTCAGTACTGCTTAGAGGGCACTGCAGGAGAGCTGGGAGCTGAAGCCCTGACCTGGGATTGAATTCTGGTTCTGACACAGTCAATTACCAAGTCTCCGCTTTGCACGTGTTGACTAGTCACATATATTAAGGGAGGAGTACCAGGAGGCAAGATCAAAAATCACTCTTGAAAATCCTTTGGGAAGGCAGCACTTTTGTGGATAAACATGTCTCAGTAAGTCCAGCCTGACCGGTTTTTCTAGTTCTTGGTTGAAGTCTGTCTTGGAGCATCGGAGGAAGCAGGTGGCTTGAATCCAAGGGCACTGCTGCACCAAACACGTCTATCTTTATCCACTGGAATTGTACTCAGTAATTAGATGCTCATGCAGAAGGTACATGGAAGCAAATACCAGTTACAGACTCAGATGTGAGTCTTCCATTTCATACTCAGCGGCACATGTCCATCACAGGTGGATACTCCACTATCACATTAAAATTTCCATTCCTTCTCTCTTTGGCCAAGTGCGTACAACTGAATGTACCTGCTCTGATTCAATGCATTCATGATACAACTCCGTTGTGTCTCACCTCTCCAAAGCTGTTTCCTCTTCTGTAAAATGAGGGCAATAGCAGTACTACATCATCAGGCTATTGTGTAGATCAAATAAGACAACGTGTGTAGGAATCTTAAATCGCTGCCAGGCAAATGACTTTCTTCATTCCCTTCCCCCACATTTTCCCTAACTAGCTGTGTGAAATATGAGCAGGCCCTTCCCTCTCTGGGTCTCAATGTTCTCCAACAACAAAACGTAGGGGCTGTTAGTTGCTTTATAAGGCCCCTTCTAGCTTGAAGCTTTTAGGATAGTGCTGTAATTCTAGGGCATTTATATGCACTCAGACCTTCAATGCATTTGATCTTAGCCAAAAGGCCAAGAAGCGATCAGGCCTTCAATGAATGCAAACTGATGCTAATATGGTTTTTCTAGGACTGCTTTACCCAGCTGATAAGGGTCACATCTATAAACAGCAGCCCTTTGCACACTATAATATGTCAAAACCTTGAGAATTAAACATACATCTTAATCACCTTATTTTTCATTTGATCAGCAGAAGTATACTTCAGCTGCATCTCATATCATAAGGTGACCACATTTAATGCTGCACTTACTTCAGTCCTTCAGAGGCACTCCAAATGACAAATGCTTACCTGTGATGGGAGTGAAGCACCACCTTCCCTCCAAGGAACACATGTGGACACACACATGGACAGTCACTATCCTTTGTTTTGAAAAGCTTCCTTTCTTTAGAAGGTATTGAGGTAAAAGGAAATGAACTCTGGAATTAGGCCTGGACTGAATTATTTCAGCTCCTCTAGCTGTGAGAATTTAGACAGGTTTAACTTTTCTGGGCCTTGTTTCCATATCTGTAAAGCTGACATAGATGTTTCTGGTAGTGTTGTGTGGGTCACGTTGGAAGCAGTCTGAGGCTTTGGGTAGATCATAGGATTGGTGGGAAGGTCCCCCTTCTAGAGTGCGAGGGACTCCAGGATAATCTCATTTCCAGCCACATGACGGGTCTACCCATTGCTTAGCCTCTCTGGGTCCGTGCCACATCGGTGAAGTTGGGACAGCATTTCTCACAGAATTGCTATGCTCAGCACTTGACCAGCAGCCTGGCACTTCTCCCACCTCAACCCACCACCCCTATGCTAGGGTAGCTCCCATGCCTTGCTCAAAGTAATGGTATACATGGCAATACCTCCTCCCAGCTGTCCGGCATCCTTTGAAGACTCAACTTAGTAGGCCATACCTGAAGCCTTTCCTAAACCACTGCCCCAATCCTCAGGATGACCTAACTACTCACCACCAGAACCTTGCCTTACCAGAGCATACCTTTTAGACTCCCTGGGCTGGCATTTGTTACCTATCCTGGGCAAGCCTGTACCCCCTAAAGGGCAGAACTGCGGCTTCCTCATCTCTGGATTTCTCAGGAGAGGGCTTGACACAGAGTATGTGCTCAGCAAATGTTAGGCCCCACTTTCACTTTTTGGAAATAGCTCTGGAAAGCCAGTGCTAGGGATAAGACTGGGGGCAAGGGTAGGGTGTAGGGAGAGGGGAATTCCCTCAGGAAGTAAGAGAGGATTGTGTAAAAGAACATGATGCCTGGAATCAAATGACCTAGATTCACATCTCTGCTCTATCACCTGACAACTAAAGAATCTAGACAAGTCACTATACCTCTCTGAGCTGTTCCCATGTCGTAAAAGGAGGACCACAATATCTCCTTAGCACACAGCACCTGGCACATACTGAGTACCAGTATGCTTTATGTCCCATGTGCTGTTCGAAATATTTAAATGTACTAAATTATGTAAATCTCACTACAACTCTAGGAGGCAGATACTATCCTCATTGTACCGGCACTGCAAATAAGGCCCAGGGAAATTCGGGGACTTCCCCAAGTTGGAGCTAATGAGATGCTCACTAAATGGCAGCAATTACTGTTCTCGGGTAGTAATGCAAGGGACACAATCTCAGTGACCCCAAGGCTCTGGCGTCCTGGCTGTGGGACTTCTGCACCTGGACTAGCTCCATGCTCACTTCCTCAATTACAGCAAACGACAGGGACCAATCAGTGTTGTAAATAGAGTTAACATAATATATTTATTTTAAGTGCCATTCATGCATATCAGTTCTGGCAGCAACAATCCTAATGACACTTGGAATATTTCTTTACAGCACTAAACAGTTACAAAGAATGGTTGCCGTTCATCAGAGGCAAAATATGAAATCGTGCAATAGCAAAACTGTAGAAACATTAAAACACTGTCCAACAGCAGTACAGAGAGCAGGTTGTATCTGCACAAAAAGCCAATGCATTTTCATCACATATATACAATATAGATATATACACATCACCCTCTGAATGAACAATATCAAAATACTCTATTCCATTTGAAATTATCCCCGGATTGATTCCCTCCCACTTCAAAGGACATCTGAGAGACATGTATTTACAAGAACACACATGAATACATTTACATTTCAAAAACTGCCACAAATGCCAGTCGGATTATTCTCCTGGACAGAGTGCCCCCATTTCTTTACATGCATTTATTATTCTTTCCCCCTAAAATCTTCAGTCAATTTAAGCCCAAGACAGAACTTGTTCTGCATTAGCAACTACCATGCGAAATGGCCACTAGAGGGACTCTCTGCACCTCACCAGGTAACCGGCTGGCCAGGGCCCACAGAAAATAACTGTCCTGGGCTCCTGGATCACCTGGATCACAGGAAAGTGGGACGGGTCTGGGTGAAGGCTTTGCCTCCATGGCCATTCTTGGTAAGTTTAAATTCTCATAAAAATATTTATCACTGCAAATCAGTAAATGATTGCCAAATGGGAAATTCGCTTCACACAATTCATAAAATCATCATCAGTGGTTCTACTTCAAATCACTCAGTATGAAACTGCATTCCAATATCCAAATTGTTTAAAGTGCACATTGCTACCCAAGCCATTAAAACAGTTTCAAAACAGCTATTTTGGTGTCTAGAAAACAGTGACTTAAGCAAACCATTGAAAATCACCCCTTTTTTTCAAGCGTTTACTCTGCAGGCTAACATCTCATCTTGCCTCTGATCCTTCTAAGAGGGGCAACTTGGCTGCCTTTCCAGAATCCTCTGATTTTCGTTGATCCAAGGGGCTGGAACTGAGCTTCCTTTTTCATGCCAAGTAGGGTCCAAACAACAGAGAAACATAAAGCTTTTCCCTTTTCCCCAACCTCACCAGCCCTTACCATGGCTGGCTTCCCAGTGATTCATTCAAGGCAACACTCCATTAAAAACACACACACGCGCGCGCACACACTCTCACTCTCTCTCTCTCTCAGCACAAACACAGAAACAAAAGATGTTTGTTTAGTTCAAGAAGAGATTACTCAACCATAGAATCACTAAGGCTAATTAAAGTGATTTTGCATGACTGATAGAGACCAGAGATGCTAAAAAGTAACCAGTAAGCAGTTATTACTCCTTGACTTGATGAAATATATTTCCCCATTAGAATTGACACTTTTTTTTTTTTTTTTGGTCTAAAGAATTCAAAATCTATTCATTAAAAAAGCCCTCATTTCTTCTAGCTTTATCATAGAACTAAGATAATCAGTCCACGCAAACTGTGATATGGTATGAAACAAAACAACGCCACTAAAAAACCCGTAAGAGGTGGGCTGCGTTTCAAAGAAAAGGACCAAATGTCATGCATACACAGACATACAGGACAACAGAAACAGCAGGCCACATATCTAGGCTGAACACTGAAGTAAATAAAACTGTAAGTGGCTCTACCCTCCTTTCAAGACAACGTAGATGAAAAAGATGAGTGGGGAAACTTGCTTTAGAGACACTGCCCTGCTGTTGTTGCCCAAATGGAATCTGATTCAAATCCCAGAAAAAGCTGATTTAACTAATAAGTCTGAATCAGCAGGGATGCTAAGACAGAGAAATGTATTCACATGCCAAAAGGAGTGATGACAGAGAATGACACAATGCCCCTCTGAGTGTCTTATCTGTAAATTATTATCAAGAAAAGTAATTCTGGGCCAGGCATGGTGGCTCACACCTGTAATCCCAACTCTGTGGGAGGCTGAGGCGGGCAGACTGCCTGAGCTTAGGAGTTCACAGCGAGCCTAGACAACATGGTGAAACCCCGTCTCTACTAAAATACAAAAAATTAGGCAGGCGTGGTGGCGCACACCTGTAGTCCCAGCTACTTGGGAGGCTGAGGCAGGAGAATTGCTTGAACCTGGGAGACAGAGGTTGCAGTGAGTCGAGATCACATCACTGCACTCCAGCCTGGGTGACAAAGCGAGACTCCATCTCAAAAGAGAAAAAAAATTAATTCTGTGCTTTCAGATACATTTCTCCTTAATGAACCCAACAGGAACTGAGCATTCACAGAAGATAGCAATAAATATTAAAATAACACTTTTGAATAATAAATACTTAGGTGAACATGGAAGCACTGATTTGTTTAAAGAGCCAAGCAATGTCCAACTTCTTCCTGATCAACAAATGTTAGAGCTGTTGTAACGCAGATTTAGAAAAGCAGACAATGACAAGGTACGATACATACTCTAAAATCCCCCAAGCAGCAAAACCAATTTGGTCAGTTCTTCATGTTGCTCAGGAGCAATATGCCCCTTTAGATTGTTGGAGTGTCAAATTCTGGGTTCCTTATTAGGTAGAACTCATTACCCACATTTCTGAAAAAGATTAAATAAAGGGAACCGGGCTTTGAAAAAAATCTATTTCCTTTCAGTTTCCTTTATCAGTTAAAAGCATCCTGCAGAAAATAGCCTAACAAGGAATAAAAACTGACAATAACTTTCCTTTCACGACATAATAATCCAATTAGAAAAAACTGAAGCCTTTCAGTAATTTTTGTACATATATTTACATGTATGTATCTTTATATAAACTGCTTGCAGCAAAATAGGCTCCGTCTGAAAAATCAGTCTGGCACTTGTGGTTAACATCGAACTGACATCAATACGCAAAAAGCCGTCCAAATCACACAACAGTTAGGAGCTACATAGGGCAGCTGGCAGGGAGACAAACATGTAGTACTTGTTTGGGTCAGATAAAAGCAGTACGTTATCCAGCTAAAATTCTGATTGTCTTCAAAAGTAATTTTGATAACATTGGTAAAGTGATTAGCAAGTTTGTTTTCTCAACTGGATTCTTTTAAACCTTTCCCTTCACTGCGCAGAAAGGTAACGTTAGGGGTCTGGTGTCTTGCAGATACAAGCCCTACACAATTGAATCCCAATCAAAGTCATCCTGGATGTCATCTGGAGGCAGGGAGCGCCGCATCTGGAAGGCTTGGGAAGGCATCATGTGCTGCTGGTTCATGGCTCTGTGATGGCCTGGAAGGAAAGAGGTAGTATTAGCAGTGCCTTGGGTAGAGAAGAAAGTAAGAAATAAACTAACCCCTACCGTGTACTTCCTATATGCCAGGTACACATTATCTCACTAATCCAACCATAAGCCTTCAACAAAGTAGCTCTTATGATCCTCATTTTATAGGTAAGGGGATAGGGTTTAAGAAGATGAGTAAATTACCCAAAGTTACACAAGCAGTAGGGGACAAAGACAGAATCTGAGGTCAGTTCACTTGACCCACACTCCTTCCATTATACCAGGCTGTAGTAAGAAGACACAAGAAAAGTGCTCTTATAGTCTGTTTTGCTCCAGTATGTTGTTTCAGTAACATGAATTGGCTCCCATGAGAATGGTAAACAGAATGAGAATGATGGCAGTGCACCAATGATGTCACACTGGGTCACAATGAATTTTCCCCAACAAGCTAATTTCTGTGTCACCAAGTAACATCAAGTGAACACAGAGGGCATCAACAAGGGAACACAGAAACTAGAAGGAACCACAGCTGAGTACAAAATGCCCACCTTACCATGCTCTTCTTGTACTGGTTTGGCCACGTGCTGTTTGTGCTCCCCAATTTCAGTGCACTGGGCCTGTGTCTCAACCATATCTTGACAGACCCCCTTCTAAACCAACTGCTCTTTTGAATTTTAACTTGTAGATTTCTTTCATTACAAATTATACAAATCCTTTTAACTGTTGTGCAAGTTTTACTGGGTTATTTTTCTAGTACTTTCATTACAAAATTCCAAGTAGTCTGCTACTCATTTTTCTCATAAGCCCTGAAATATTTTCTTGTACAATTATTTAATGCTAAGGTTTTTAGTATATCACAGTATAGGCAAAATGCCTCCATTTAAAAAATTTATTTAATAAAAACTTATAAGTCCCTTACTGTGGGTCAGGCACTAACTTACATGATTCTCATTTAAACCTAACAACTCAAGGAGTTAGGTAGTGTTATTAGCCCCTTTACAAACAGGTAAGCTGAGGTAGGAGAGTTAGGTAGCTTGTCTAACATCACACAGCCATTAAGTAGCAAAGCATGATGATTCGAACACAAGCAATCTGGCTCCAGAGTCTTATTCACCTTATGGTGTCACTTACAAATTACTGGTAAGCACTCACAACAGGTAATATTCTTTTCCCCTTCAGCAAAGGACATATCACTTGGTCCCAACTCCTTCCTTGCTGCTGCCACATAGTTCTTCAAGGTTTAAAATCCACCCCCAACCACATTACCTTTTGTCTTTTCCTCAAATAGTCTAAGTAAAGGATTGTGTGGTATGTGAGAAAACCATAATACAAACATTGGGGCTTGAGTCTTGGTTTGGCCACTCACTAAACTGGGTGGCCTGGGCAAGGCATCTCTCCTTCAGAGCCTCCATTTCCTCATCTAGGTGATCCTTAAGACAGTTTCCAGCTCTAACAATGTGCCCTATTCCTCTGGCTAAATGAAACATATCCTGCATTCAAGAACCTGGTGGGAAAAAGTTTATGAACCAGTAACTCCTAAAACTTACCTTCTCTATAAGATACTTCCCTGGAAACTACAGCTGGGTAAACTCCATAGAAATGAATGAAGCAGAATCTACAGGAGCTACTAAAGCAGCTTCCTAAAGCTTGCTAAAGTCCTGTCAAACACCCTCAACTATGACCCCAGAACTTCTTAGAGAGGCAAGACAATAAATAACTAGAATAAGTAGAATAATTGCATCTTGGGCTAAAAATGACTTCAGGTCCTACAGTCTAAACACCAACTGATGATTGAATCCCTTCAGTAGCCCTAGTGCCAAGTGGTTGTCCAGACACTATCCTCTAGCCCCTCTTAACAGGGAGTTCACTCCTTGAGGCAGCCTCATTCACCATTGGAACAGCTAATGCTTCTCAACATTAAACTCTGGGTACTAATCAACACTCGTGCATACACACACACACACATTACCTGCCATCGTTGTTCCTGGAGTGCTGAGTGCCTGTGGGATATGAGGATAACCAGGGGGTGGCATCACTGAAGGAGGGAGATTTTGCCTAGAATCTATGTACAAATTTCCTAATCAGATTAAAAGCAAAAAGAGGGAAAGCATGTTACCACAAATAAAACAAATGGAGCACTAAAATCTGAACAGGTGCTGGCCTTTTTTTTTTTTTTTTTTTTTTTTGAGATGGAGTTTCAGGGCCGGGCGTGGTGGCTCACGCCTGTAATCCAAGCACTTTGGAGGCCAAGGAGGGCGGATCACCTGAGGTCGGGAGTTCAAGACCAGCCTGACCAACATGGTGAAACCCCGTCTTGAAAAAAAAAAGAGATGGAGTTTCACTCTTCTTGCCCAGGCTGGAGTGCAATGGCGCAATCTCAGCTCACCATAACCTCTGCCTCCCAGGTTCAAGCAATTTTCCTGCCTCAGTCTGCCAAGTAGCTGGGATTACAGGCATGTGCCACCATGCCTGGCTGATTTTGTACTTTTAATAGAGATGGCATTTCTCCATGTTGGTCAGGTTGGTCTTGAACTCCTGACCACTGATGATCTGCCCACCTCGGCCTCCTAAAGTGCTGAGATTACAGGCATGAGCCACCACACCCATCTCAGTGCTGGCCTTTTGAACAGGTGCCAGGCTGGGTATGAGCACACTGGAACTAATGTTGGCGCTGCCACTAGCTGTAAGCTGGTAGGTAAATTATGTCTATTGTTGTTGCTGTCACATACCTCATTACAACTCAAAACTATTTTTATATCCGTTACTTCATCTGACCCTCCCACTAAGCCCCAGGATTGTTATACCCATTTTACAGATGAAGCAACTGAAACTCAGAAAGGCTAACCTGACTTGCCTGAAGACTCATTAGTTTGATAGTGCTAGGACTAGAATCCAGATCTCCTAACTCATGGACTTTTTTTTTTTTTTTTTTTTTTTTTTTGAGACAGGGTCTCACTCTGTCACCCAGGCTAGGGTGCAGTGGCAAGACCTTGGCTCACTGCAACCTCTGCCTCCCGGGTTCAAGTGATTTTCCTGCCTTAGCCTTCCAAGTAGCTGGGATTCCAGGCGTGCACTACTGCGCCTGGCTAATTTTTGTATTTTTAGTAGAGATGGGTTTCACTATGTTGGTCAGGCTCATCTTGAACTTCTGACCTGAAGAAATCCACCTGCCTTGGCCTTCCAAAGTGCTGGGATTACAGGCGTGAGCCGCCACACCCAGCCACTCAAGGACTCTTTCTACACCACCATCTATTTCTTTTATTTCCCTGATGTTCTCACCATCAAAGCAGGCCTAACCATGTGTGCCCTTGTTAATTAACAAGTGCCTGGGAAGCGCAAAGTAACAATAAAGATCTGCACATGTTAAGAGCTACATGAAGCAATGGTGATTAAAAATGTATTATTCTGGTCAGGGCACAGTGGCTCATGCCTATAATCCCAGCACTTTGAGAGGCAGAGGCAGGAAGATCACTGAGGTCAGGAGTTTGAGACGAGACTGGCCAACATGGTGAAACTTGTCTCTACTAAAAATACAGAAAATTAGCCAAGCATGGTGGCACATGCCTGTAGTCCCAGCTACTGGAAAGACTGTGGCAGGAGAAATCACTGGAACCTGGGAGATGGAGGCTGCAGTGGGCCGAGATCGCACTACTACACTCCAGCCTTGATCAAAGAGTGAGACCCTGTCAGAGAAGAGGAAGAGGAAGAGGGAGGAAAGAGGGAGGGATGGGGGAGGGGGGAGAAAGGAGGAGGGGGAGGAGGATGAGGAGGGGAAGGGGGAGGGGGAGGGAGAGGGAGAAGAGGAAAGAATTATTCTGGAGTGTGAGGATGGGAAACATGGATCTCATTCAAATTTTATTTAGTTGTTAAGTTAATGTATTTTCATTGACAAGAGACATCAAGCGTTAACACCTCCTAAATGTCAACTATGTTACATCATAATGCAAAATAGAGAACAAACATGACCCCTCCCCCAATAACTCATGGGGAATGATTATAAAAGTTGTTCACATTATAAGGAACATCTGGAATTTTGGAAAGGCTACTTCCCTAAGGTTATCTAGTATTTCATACAAATTACACTTGAATTCTTGTAATGTTGTAATGAAACTAAAAAACAGTAATAATTTTCTCAGAGGAAATGAAAAAGAGCAGAAAAAAATCTTCCACTTCTATTAAGGTAAGGCATTCTGTATTTGGCTGCTCACAGGTTTTTACCCTCCAGTGGAAAGCCAGACTATCCAGGCTCAAGAGATGATCTAATCCAATCTTACCTCTGTCCATGTAGACAGAGAAACAGGAAAAGAGAGGAAATGAGACAGAACCAGGAACAGAATCCAAGACTTCTAACTCCCTGTCCCTGCCTCCCATGATAACATGCCTTTTATCACTGAAGTTTATAGTCAGAACTGAGCTCTCTGATTGACTATACTGATGATTTAGGAAGAAAGAAAGAGGAGAAAAGTCATATTAAACTACAGCTCTAATACTGGTCTGAGTGATGTGGGGTGGAATCCTGTCCCCAAATGCAGATTGGTCTTTATATGCACGGCTACTGTACTTTCTAAAGACTGCACCAAGTTGGAGGGGCCACACCACTCAGACTAATACGGTCAGTCACACACCTACAAACTCCCTGTCTCTGTCCTTCAAAATCATAGCTCTCATTCTACACATCTTTTGAGTTCATGCCATAATCAAAATGGAAAACTGATTTTTACTGGGAATTAGTCTTTCATCACTTCTCTTTTTATGGCTTTGTAATTCTTACCTTAAAGGCAGGGGGTGTAAGAATTATAGCATTATGACACTAAACAAAGGTCTACGCTAAACAGTCTCAGCTTTCTGAAATTCCATCATATTCCTAACATTTTTACTTTTGTATAGAAATTCCCATTACTTCTCATTTTTCCCATATTCTCAATATAGAGTCTGAATGAGTGTATGCCTGAATTTCCTATGTAAGAAATTAACTTCCAATGCAGTTTCCAAAGATTTTTGAGATTCCATACATTTAGAATCTAGTTCTGAGAATTAAAAATCTAATCACATAATTTATCAAAAACAGGCTCTTTTCATTCAAGAAGTATTTATATATCAGGCACTGCTCAAGGCACTATGGATATAGCAATGAAAAACACAACTCTGCTTTTTTGGAGTGTATTCTTGGGGGTGTTGGGTAGGTGAAAACAAAGTAAATTAAATAGTATGTAACATGCTATGGAACAAAAGCAGACAGAGAGAACAAACAATGCTTGGTAGTGCCATTTAAATAAGATGACCAGGGAAGGCATCCCCCGAGCAGGTGTTTTTTGAGGAAAAAAAATGGAACAAGATGAGGAAATGAGTCATGTGTCTATCTGAGGGAAGACCACTCTGGACAAAAGGAAACAGCAAGTACCAACCAGCAAGTACAAAGGCCCTGGTCAGGTCAAGTGTGCTACCTAGCGTGTTCAAAGAACAGCAGGAAAACCAGTAGTGCTGGAGCACAGGGGTTGGGGGTAGAAAGCAGGAGACAATATCAAAAATAATGTGGGATCAGATCATACAGGCCATTTGGGCCATAGTAAGAACACTGGTCTTTACTGAGAAAGATGGAGGATTTTGGGCAGAAAACAGACATGACATGATCTGATCTGTCTTGCAAAATCCCACTTAACCTACAAAGTCCAGCTTAAATGTATTATCTTCTATGATAATTTTCCACCTTTCCAAGAGAAGTATGTACCCCTTTCTCTGAATTCTTACAGCACTTATACCCTATGGACAAATGGAGCCCTTGACATACTATATTTCTTGTTGGACCTGTCTCAACCATTAGGCTGTGAACTCTTTGAGACAAAAGCTATTATAGGAGTCATATCTTTATTCTCAGTGCCCAATACACAACTAGACAAAGAAACGGTATAAATAAGTGTGTGCTCAATGACTGCATCCCTGCCTGTATTTAATGACCTTTAAGCAAAGCATCAAATTAGAATAGTATAGCCAGAAGACATTAACAAATTATAACCACAGGTAAAAGGATTTAGGAAAAAGATGTCATATACTGTGTTCTATAACATCCTTCTGTCCTTCGTCCTTCTACACTAGCACACTACACCGCTAATTTCTGGAGTCTGTAGGAAGCTCAAAGAGGTGTTCACCAAAAGGGGAGTCCTTGAAGACGGGAATGATAGGGAAGGTTTAAGGAAATGGATAGGCTATATTCTGGAACTCAAGACCTACACCTAAATGAATTTTATAACTTTGGGCAAGTCATTTTATCTCCCTGGATCACAAAGTCCTTATTGTTCAATAAAGGGATAAAATCAACAGCTAAGAAAATATGGCAAAGAATTACTGAAGTGTAGAGATGAGGGAAGTGAAAGATCTGAATGGATGTGATATATAGGGATGTAAGAAAGAGAAAAAAGTAATGACAGAAAGACACTGGCACTTAAAACAAGAGGAAGCAGGTTGGACATGTAAAAAATATCTGAATATTTGTGAACAGACATCAGCAAGCATGAAGTGATGAATACTTGGGGCACCATAATTGATGAGAGAACAACTGTTGTCAGAGGCCAACATGGCTTGCATGAGTCAGAAGGAAAATATAAAAGGAGAGTGAGAGTAGAAACAGTCGAATAAACACTGAGGAAAAACTATCATTTTCTACCTTTGGTAAGGCTGTGACTAGAGTAGCACTGAGAACCATGAAGGCGTCATGGGACCCTAGAGAGGAGGAGGGCCCTGGCAATACAAAAGAGATGACAGAAAAAATTAACAGAATCACAGAACACCACAACAAATAACCTAGGTCAAGTATCAAGAAGAGATGACTACAGAAGTCTAGGAACAAAGGGCTTTAGGAAAGTCACTCAGGATGTCAGTCTAGAAAGAATCCAGAAGGAGTGTCTGGGCACACTGGACAGCAGCAGATGAATAGTGCTTTTTCCATAACAAAACTACCAAGTTCCAAGACCAAAAGGTACAGGCACAAAACTGAAATTCACCAACATGGGAGCTACTGGCTAACACGTATGCTGGCTTTTGAGATTGCCGCCTTTTTTTTTTTTTTTTTTTTTTTTTTTGAGAAAAAGCCTCCCTCTGTCACCCAGGTTGGAGTGCAGTGGCACAATCTTGGCTTGCTGCAGCCTCCACCTCCCAGGTTCCAGCGATTCTCCTGCTTCAGCCACCCAGGTGGCTGGGACAGGCACGCGCCACCAAGCCCAGTTAACTTTTATATTTTTAGTAGAGATGGGGTCCCTTATGTTGGCCAGGCTGTCCTCGAACTCCTGACCTCAGGTGATCCACCCACCTCAGCCTCCGAAAGTGCTGGGATTACAGGAATGAGCCACCACACTCAGCCAAGATTGCCTTCCTCTAAGACTGACACCCATCTTCTTCTACTTGTCCTGCCTGAGTCAACAATCTATGAGCAACAGTTACTTATCCCCAAACAGGCAAGACTAGTAATACATACATAAGCTATTTAATTTCACTTAGCACTTTTTCAGACTGAAATGGTTAGAGATGGAGTTAGCAAAAGAAGTGAACATCATGACAGCATGCAGAAGCAACAATTTTGGATCAATACAGAAAGAAAAGAAGAAAGGAGAAAAAAGGGGCAAAAAACAGAGAGAGGTGGTATACCTGACCTGGTCTAAGAACGTAAAGCAAGTTGGAAAAATGAAAGCGATATATCCTGAAAGGAACAAACTAGGGGCTTAGAACCCATCAGAGAAACAAAGAAGATAGGCTGTCTATCTGCAAGAAAAGATTTTAAAAAATGAAATGGAAGAAGGGCACGTAAATGAGGATACCTGCTGAATTACAAAGATCTTGATGCTTAAAAATGAATATACATCAGAAAAATACCAAAAAGAACTAAAGGAGAGAGAGACAAAGAAGCTAAAAAGTTATCAAAAACTAAATTTTAGTGTCTGGCACAGAGGGCAATCAGCCAGGGACTCAACAAGGCCCTTGTGTGGATATAATTTACTGAATGAATAAGTTACCAAAATCAAATGACTGAAAGTTTCAGGCAGGGTAAGCTATTCAAAATGGCTTAGGGAAAAGCTATTCAACATGGAAGAAGAAAAGATAAAAGATTTCCACTACATCAAAGGATACAGAAAAATTTCATTTAAAGAAAGACACAGACTGATAAGCTTGACAACATGGGTGGACAAAAGATGTGAAATAAGATAGGATAATGGTGAAAGGAAGCCACTCAGGATAGAGAAGAGAGAGCTTGTTGGCATAAAATGTAAAATCAATAGAACATACAGAAAAGAAGTAAATTTGACAATAAGGCAAGGAATTAAGATGAGGAGAGAAGTAAGTTGAATATGAAATTCCTACAGAAAAACATGGGCACTGCAATCAGAGTAGAAGACATGGCTACAAGGGTAAAGAATAAAGGAAGAAAGTGAGATTAAAAAAATAAATAGGAAAGACTTTGAGTCTAAGGTAAACCATCAGTGAGACTATTTTCCATTACGTCTATTCTTCAAACACTTTGAATTGCTGAATTTTAACATTCTTAGGAAATACACAAGACACATGAAATCTGTACAAATTTAATTTCATACCTATGTTCGTATAAAAATGTAAGTAACTTCAATATATTTGTTTGATGACTTAGTAAAAGGTTAACGATTACAACAGTTAACTGTAAATAATAAAGCAATCATATAAATCACAACAGCAAAACACAGTCTCTTTACCTCAATTTTTCTAAGTTATGCCCTATATATAAATTATTTGCTTTCATTCATTTCTTATAAACAAAAATATGTAAACAGATCACTGTCACCATTAGTATCAAATCAAGTTAAGATAGTTACTAAATTTCGTATGAATGGGAAAATAAGAAAAATTAAGAAGATAACTAATACCATACCTGTTCCAATGTGTTGGGAAGGTTTTGTTGGATGCATGGCACCATGACAAACATTTTGCTGAACATTACTCTGTGAATGAATAAGGCCAGTTTGTGTAAAGAACTGATTAAGAGAAGAACAGAGATCAGCAAACTGAACCTGATCTAAAGACCAGTTCTTGAGATCTGCCTGTCTCATACTCTCCATCAGACCTATGAGGAAAGCATTAAAAATATGTTAGCACAGTTCTGCAATAAACATTGCAAGGAAAATAGCAAGACATAACTTTCTTCAGCCCTCAAAATTTCCACTCACCCTACTTTATAGTAGTGATGTGCCCACACAATAAAGAATTATCTTTTTAAATTATTCAAAGCCCAATTATTTTAAATGTAGCCAAATTTCGTTCAGAACTTGCCTGTGACCCTCTGCTTTAACAAATAGCCAAAATTACTCTAAATTTTACAAAATGTTTTTAAGCATACTACCAACTTCAAAAGAAATGCTATATAAGATGTTTCTCTGTACTACAAAGAAAGTTATAATCCAGAAGAGAAAACAGGATCATATGTATTTGGTTATATCAAAAAGAACCAACACTCACCTTGAAACTGTGAAAGGTCTACATCTGACCAATTAACACTGCTGGCAATTCGACAGCTTTCTTTTAGCATATCAAGTGTTGCATACCAATCATTTGAAACACCTATAAAAGTAATATTGACAACAGTGTAAATCCTGGAGAGTGAACGGGTGAAGAGTGGTAAGGAAAAATGATGAGCTGGCCTTATTCCTGAAATTGGGCGATCCTTGTCCAGTATTACAGGGGGATTTGTACCCATTATACCATGTGTTGGGCAATTTGCTCTGTGAGACAGGCAGAAAAGGTATTATTTCTCTCCTCCTTTTACAAGTAAAAGCAACTGAACCAAAGAGGTGACATAACTTAGCAAGGTCATCATGATGAACCTAAGACTTGAACCCAGGTCTTCTTAACTTCTAGTCTGGCAGCTTCCAAACTGCCATGTCACCTAGTAGTATCAAACTTGATACTGCTCTTTACACTATAGTATCAATAAGTAAACAGACGAGAAATGTAATGCAAATCAGTATTTTCCCCTTTGTGAAGTTCATTTTCCTGTCTTGTTTTGACCTTTAAAGATATGCTCTTCAGAACTTAGAGAGGGAGGTTCACATATAGAGGCAATGCACAGTATAATTTAATGCAATGACTTAAGGCAGATGGATTAGATCATATAGGAAGAGTAAATGCTTCTTCCAAGGCAACCTTAGGAGAAAAAATTTAACACAGTTCCCATGCCAGGCTAGTGAAGGAAGAAGGGTAAGATCTCTGTAAGAAATGCTGAGGAGGTCGATCCAAGATGGCTGAATAGCAACAGCTCTGGAGTGCAGTTCCCAGCAAGAACAATGCAGAGGGTGAGTGAACACTGCATTTCCAAACAAGTTATTACTACCCACAGACCAGGAAATTCCCGGGCTGAAAAGCACCATAAGTTTCAAGCATGGTTGTTTCAGCTGCTCCACACAAAAACTCACACAAATCTGGGTGGCCGTTTCAACTGGTGCCTGGGGCACCTGGAACGCCTGGGAGACAGAACTGCCCACTAAACTGAAAAAAAGGGGGGCTGAAATAGGGAGCCAGGTGATCTGGCTTGGCAGGTCCCATCCCCACAAAGACCAGCAATCTGAAACGCTCTGGATTGAGAGTTTTGCAGCAAGCGCAGATGGACCTGGTCGGTCCAGCATTGTTGGGGCAAAGGCATTCACCACTACCGAGGCAGTCCACCACTAACAAGACAGTCTGCCATTACTGAGGCAGTTCTAACTATGCCTCTATAAACAAAACAGCAAGGAAGTTCACACAGCAGCTAGGCAGAGCCCATGGCAGCTCAGCAACATCTCTGCTGGCAGACCATGACTAGGCTACCTCCTTGCTGGACAGGACAGCTCTGAAAAAAAGGTAGCAACATGTCAGGAACTTATAAATGAAGCCCCACCTTCCCAGGACAGAACACCTGGGAAAAAAGGCGGTTATAAGTTCCACTGCAGCAGACTTAAACGTACCTGCCCAGCATCTCTGAACAGAACAACGGAGCTCACAGATCAACACTTGAGCTCCTATAAGGGACAGACTGTCTCCTCAAGCAGCTCCCTAACCGCCATATATCCAAAGAGTCACTTCATAAAGGAGAGCTCAGGCTGACATCTGGCGGGTAACCTTCTGGGAAAAAATAAAAGAAGAAGAAACTGGCAGCAACCCTTACTGGTCTGCAGCCACCACAGGTGATCCCCAGGCAAGCAGGGTCTACAGTGGACCTCCAGCCGTCCTACAGCAGAGGGGCCTGACTGTTAGAAGGAAAACTAAAAAACAGAAAGAAATAACTTCATCATCAACAAAAAGGACGTCCACTCAGACCCCATCCGAAAGTCACCAACTACAAAGACCACAGGTAGATAAATCCACAAAGATGGGAAGAAACCAGCACAAAAAGGATGAAAACACCCAAACCCAGAACGCCTCTCGTTCTCCAAGGGATCACAACTCATCACCAGCAAAGGAATAAAGCTGGATGGAAAATGAGTCTGATGAATTGACAGACACACACTTCAGAAAGTGGGTAATAACAAACTTCTCTGAGCTAAAAGAACATGTTCTAACCCAATGCGAAGAAACTAAGAACCTTGAAAAGAGGTTTGACCAAATGCTGATGAGAATAAACAGCTTAGAGAAGAATATAAATGACTTAATGGAGCCGAAAAACACCACACAAGAACTTTGTGAAGTATTCACAAGTTTCAGTAGCCAAATCGACCAAGCAGAAGAAAGAATATCAGAGACTGAAGATCAACTCAGTGAAATAAAACAAAAAGGAAAGATTAGAGAAAAAAAGTGAAAAGAAATAAACAAAGCCTCCAAGAAATATGGGATTATGTGAAAAGATCTAATCTATGTTTGATAGGTGTACCTGAATATGATGGAGAGAATGAATCCAAGCTGGAAAACACTCTTCAGGATATTACCCAGGAGAACTTCCCCAACCTAGCAAGGCAGGCCAATATTTAAGTCCAGGAAATGCAGACAACATCACAAAGATATTCCTGAAGAAGAGCAACCCCGAGAAACATAATCATCAGATTCACCAGGGTTGAAATGAAGGAAAAAATGCTAAAGGCAGCCAGAGAGAAAGGTCAGGTTGCACACAAAGGGAAGCCCATCAGACTCACAGAGGATCTCTCAGCAGAAACCCTACAAGCCAGAAGAGAGGGGTTAGGGTTGGAATGGAAATCATAACAGTATCTCAGACCACAGTGCATTAAGTTAGAACTCAGGATTAAGAAACTAACTCAGAACCACACAACTTAATGGAAACTGAACAACTGGCTCTTGAATGTTGACTGGATAAACAATGAAATGAAGGCAGAAATAAAGATGTTCTTCAAAACCAACAAGAACGAAGACACAACATGCCAGAATCTCTGGGACACATTTAAAGCAGCCTCTAGAGGAAAATATATAGCAATAAATGCCAACATGAGAAGCAAGGAAAGATCTAAAATCAACACCCTATCATCAAAATTGAAAGAGCTAGAGGAGCAAGATCAAAAAAACTCAAAACCTTGCAGAAGACAAGAAATAACTAAGATCAAAGCAGAACCGAAGGAGATCGGAACACAAAAAACCCTTCAAAAAAAATCAATGAATCCAGGAGCTGGTTTTTTGAAAAGATCAACAAAACAGACAGACCACTAGCCAGAGTAAAAAAATAGAAAACAGAGAAGAATCAAATAGATGCAATAAAAAACTATAAAGGGACTATCACCACGGATTCCACAGAAATACAAACCACCATCAGAGATTACTACAAACAACTCTATGCACACAAACCAGTAAACCTGAAAGAAATGGATAAATTCCTGGACACTTGCACCCTCCCAAGCCTAAACCAGGAAGAAGGTGATACCCCGAATAGACCAGTAACAAGGGCTGAAGTTGAGGCAGCAATTAATAGCCTACCAACCAAAAAAAGCCCAGGTCCAGATGGCTTCACAGCCGAATTCTACCAGACATACAAAGAGGAGCTGGTACCACTCCTTCTGAAACTATTCCAAACAATCCAAAAAGAGGGAATCCTCCCCAAATCATTTTATGAAACCAACATCATCCTGATACCAAAACTCGGCAGAGAGTCAACAAGAAAAGAAAACTTCAGGCCAATATCCATGATGAACACAGATGCAAAAATCTTCAATAAAATATTGGCAAACTGATTGCAACGGCACATCAAAAAGCTTATCCATCACGATCAAATAGGCTTCATCCCAGGGATGCAAGGCCGGTTCAACATACGCAAGTCTATAAACGTAATCCACCACATTAACAGAACAAAAGACAAAAAACACATGATTATCTCAATAGATGCAGAGAAGGCCTTCAACAAAATTCAACAGCCCTTTATGCTAAAAACTCTCAATAAACTAGGCATCAATGGAACGTATCTCAAAATAATAAAAGCTATTTACAACAAACCCACAGCCAATATCATACTGAATGGGCAAAAACTAGAAGCATTCCCTTTAAAATCTGGCACTAGACAAGGATGCCCTCTCTCACCACTCCTATTCAATATAGTATTGGAAGTTCTGGCCAGAGCAATCAGGCAAAACAAAAAAATAAACGGTATTCAATTAGGAAAGGAGGAAGTCAAATTGTCTCTATTTGCAGACAACATGATTGTATATTTAGAAGACCCCATCGTCTCAGCTCAAAATCTCCTGAAACTGATAAGCAACTTCAGCAAAGTCTCAGGATACAAAATCTATGTGCAGAAATCACAAGCATTCCAATACACCAATAACAGACTTAAAGAGAGCCAAATCAAGAATGAACTGTCATTCACAATTGCTACAAAGAGAACAAAATACCTAGGAATACAACTAACAAAGGATGTAAAGGACCTCTTCAAGGAGAACTACAAACCACTACTCAAGGAAATAACAGAGGACACAAACAGATGGAAAAACATTCCATGCTCATGGTTAGGAAGAATTAATATTGTGAAAATGGCCATAGTGCCCAAAGTAATTTATAGATTCAACGCTATCCCCCATCAAGCTACCTGTGACCCTCTTCACAGAACTGGAAAAAACCACCTTAAACTTCATATGGAAGTAAAAGAGAGCTCACATAGCCAACACAATTCTAAGCAAAAAGAACAAAGCTGGAGGCATCATGCTACCTGAGTTCAAAGTATACTATAAGGCTACAGTAATCAAAACAGCATGGTACTGGTACCAAAACAGAGATACAGACCAACGGAACAGAACAGAGGATTCAGAGGCAATGCCACACATCTACAACCATCTGATCTTTGACAAACTGTACAAAAACAAGCAATGGGGAAAGGATTCCCTGTTTAATAAATGGTGTTGGGAAGGCTGGCTATGTGCAGAAAGCAGAAACTGGACCCTTTCCTGACACCTTACACATTAACTCCAGATGGATTAAAGTCTTAAACATAAGACCTAACACCATAAAAACCCTAGAGGAAAACCTAGGCAAAACCATTCAGGACACAGGCATAGGCAAGGACTTCATGACTAAACACCAAAAGCATGGCAACAAAAGCCATAATTGACAAATGGGATCTAATTAAACTTCAGAGCTTCTGTATAGCAAAAGAAACAATCATCAGAGTGAACCAGCAACCAACAGAATGGGAAAAAATTTTTGCAATCTACCCGTCTGACAAAGGGCTAATATCCAGAATCTACAAAGCACTGTAACAGATTTACAAGAAAAAAACAAGCCCATTCGAAAGTGGGCAAAGGACAGGAACAGACACTTTTTTCAAAAGAAGATATTTATGAGGCCAATAAACATATGAAAAAATGCTCATCATCACTGGTCATTAGAGAAATGCAAATCAAAACCACATTGAGATACCATCTCACGCCAGTTAGAATGGCAATCATTAAAAAATCTGGAGACAACGGATGCTGGAGAGGATGTGGAGAAATAAGAACACTTTTACACTGTAGGTGGGAGTGTAAATTAGTTCAACCATGGTGGAAGACAGTGTAGCAATTCCTCAAGGACCTAGAAATAGAAATTCCATTTGACCCAGCAATCCCATTACTGGGTATATATCCAAAGGATTATAAATCGTTCTATTATAAAGACACATGCACACGTATGTTCAATGCGGCACTGTTTACAATAGCAAAGACCTGCAACCCCCCCCAAATGCCCATCGATGATAGACTAGACAGGGAAAATGGGGCACATATACACCATGGAAGACTTGGCAGCCATGAAAAACAATGAGTTCATGTCCTTTGTAGCCACATGGATGAATCTGGAAACCATCATTCTCAGCAAACTGACACAAGAACAGAAAAACAAACACCACATTTTCTCACTCATAGGCGAGTGCTGAACAGTGAGAACACATGGACACAGGGAGGGGAGCACCACGCACTGGAGTCTGTTGGGTGGGAATAGGGGAGGGACAGCAGGGGGTAGGGAGGTTGGGGAGGGATAACAGGGGAAGAAATGCCAGATATAGATGACGGGGTAATGGAGGCAGCAAACCACATTGCCATGTATATAGGTATACAACAATCCTGCATGTTTTGCACATGTACTCCAGAACCTAAAGTGCAATAAAATAAATATATTAAAAGAAAAAAAAAAAAGAAATGCTGATGAATCCAGGTCAGGGCATTTCTAGTCAGAATTGGTACCCTCTGGTATAATGCCATCAGAAGAGTTTAAGACTCCACAGTCTGTCTGTCAGCAAAGCAGTCGTTAGAGGCCACACAGCAAGAGTTAACCTCAATGATGTCTCAGTGCTGAATGGAGGAAGAAAATTCTCCATTAAGTGACTGCTGTCAACCCACTCTGCTTCTAGGATCATCCCTAGATGGATAAAAATAAAGACCAATAAAAAGGGTTGGATGGTTTGTTTTTGTCACATCAAGGCAACTCTCATCTATATCAACTACTGGCTATTTCATTACAAAATTCTGCCAATTAAGGATTTTTTAAATAAACAATCAACTAGAGACAACATAACCCTGCCATGAAGCAAGTCATAATTTAGGGAATTTGTTGGGGGCTGGGAGATGATTAAATTAATGCCCCAAATGAGCCACAAACATGCAAGTCTACCAGACTCAGATCCTTTAGTTCAAGAAGAACTTCAAGGATAAGGAAGCCAAGGTTCAAAGGAATTACATAATTTAAGTCACTTAGGTAATACAACAGCCAAAGCAGTGCTAGAATTCAGATCTCTTGAGGTAAACAAAACTCAGGCAGTCAAAAGGTCAGGGTAGGAAAAAGGTTAACTGAAATGAAATTATGACCAGGAACTTGCCATGTCTAACGTGTTGTTGTGGGTGGGAGGAAAGGGAGGCTCCTTTAATAAATACTGACTTGGCAAATAAAAATAAAGCAAACTCTGCGGAGAATGGGTGAAACCCTATCCACTTGGTAAATGTCCACTAATTTTAGTCTTTTTAGAATAACTGGTGTTACAAGCTTTGAAATCAGACATGTCAGGATATAAACCCCAGTTGTACTGCTTACCACAGTGTGATCTTAAGCAAATTACTTAAAATTCTTTTAGTTGCCCTTTTCCTATACATAAAATGTAATCTATACTTGGTTTGGGAGGATAGCATAAGATAACGTATCTAAATTGACCAGTACATAATGGGCACTCAGACCACTTCCATTCCCTCTTCCGTCCATTCCTTCCTTATTAAAGACAATCTGCGCAGACTCATCTTATAAGAAGAAATGTATAATTCACAGAGAGGAATTATTACAGCCACAATGATTATTCCTAACTTCCCAAGGTAGAAGTCTATTTTCCTTCTCTGGTAAGCTACCATGTGTGTAACAGAACACTAAGGGCATACCATGGATTGTTTTCAGCTCTAACTGTACTTGTTTCTCCCTGGCAATCATTAGACTTGAGGGAAAAAAAGAGTATATTTAGAGAATCAGACTTGTACTGACACTCAGTCTCTACTTATTAGTCAATCCCTAAAATCATATTAAGAATAGACTTAAATTTCTGAAGAACATACCAACATTCAAAGATACACAATAATGATTAACTGGTAAGAAAAGAGTTTAAACTGTTATTACATAAGTTTTTCTCTAGGCATATATCTAAAAATCATTTCAAGGTGTTTAAGAAATATCTCATCAAGGTAGGATCCATATACAATTTTCAATTTTATTCCAGAGCCTACTTAGAATTAGCAACTAGGCAAACAAAATCAACTGTTAAACAAAAAATTAAAATATTTATTTGATAGATTTTTAAAATATGCATTGAATTTTGTTTGTTGTTATGGTAAAACAACAAGAAAGAAAAAATGCTATGAAGATGGCTTTAATTTCAGATTTTGGCCCCCAAATAACTTTATGAGTAACTGTGGGACAGAGAAGGAATGTGACATTAACACTTATCAAAGACTTACTAGGCTCCAGGTATACTAACTTCTACACTTTTTTTGTGGGGGGGGGGCGGGCAGCACAGGCAAAGTCTTACTCTGTCATCAGGCTGGAGGGCAGTAGTGCAATCTCAGCTCATTGCAACTCCCGCCTCCCAGTTTCAAGGGATTCCCCTGCCTCAGCCTCTTGAGTGGCTGGAACTATAGGCGTGTGCCACCACACCTGGCTAATTTTTTGTATTTTAGTAGAGACAGGGTTGTACCATGTTGGCCAGGATGGTCTCGATCTCCTGACCTTGTGATCCTCCCACCTTGGCCTCCCAAAGTACTGGGATTACAGGTATGAGCCACTGCACCCAGCCTGCTATATATTTTTATACGTTACCTAATTCTCCAAAAGAACTTACATTATTTTTTCCATTTGGTAAATAAGGAAATAGCTCCAGAAAATTTTAAGTATGATAAGTAAAGTTACAATATAAGAGACAGTATGCACTATTTAAAGCTCATTTTCTTGATAATAGTCTAAGTACCTAAAATAATGGTAAAAACTTTCCATCAGTAAATAAGAACCACCACTGTCTAGTATTTAAAAATCTTCCCTCTAAGATAAAAATCTCATTAGTGATATGGTTGGTAAGCAGACAGCCAGGCAAACTGAGGGAAAGACTTGCACTCTGCAAGACTCTAAGAGGCTCCATTTACCTTAGCATCTATGTCCATGGCACTCCTTTGGAGCTCCACAGTGTGAAGACTGCCTGGCCTGCAAGCAATGTCAGTTAAGTACCTCACCACAAACCGTCAAGACCTATCTTGAGAGCAACAGATTTTTTTTTCTTAAGTGGGATATGAGAACATTTTCTTCCTTTGCAACCTATCATTCTGAGATGAGATACTTGGCAGGAATAAGCAAAGAAAAGGAGATCATTCAAGAGTATAAAAATACAAAGTACTAGTCTAGGCATTTCTTATTTGTATTTTCAGTATGATCCTCATGACAGTACTGTATACTAGAATATTTTAGCTCCATTTATGTAGATAATAAGGCTAAAAGAAGTAAGTAACTTGCCCAAGGTCATAAGAGCCATAATGAGGATTCAAATACAGGTATTTTCCAACATAAACCTATACTTTCTATTCTATACCACACTGTGTCACAAGAAGAGTGTAGACTGCGTCTCATTCTCCTTTCAAATGCTCACGAAAACACTTTCAATGGGCAGAAGAACAAAATAAGAGTTAAAAGCAAAACCTGCAAGGGTTGCTGGGTTTGCCCCCATGTTGCTACAAGAAACTTTAATCAAGAAAATCACCCGTCAGTCTATGAATTAAATGAGTTACAACTATAGGATTATAGCAAGGAAACACACACACACAAACGGATGAAAAGAGGCTTTGGTAGCAAATACTACATGACCCCCAAATAACAAAGGGCAGATCCTGATTCACAGTTAGCCAAACACAAGCCAGGAGACGAAAACTTACCAGAATTACAGGATACCTGTTGTGGGGGTGGCGGTGCCTGATGTGTTAACGTCTGATGCTGATGGTTCGGATGGTGCTGTATATGTTGATGTGGAGAGGCATGCTGGGGGTGAGGGGACTGGAGCTGGCTGTGTTGCTGTGCGTGTGGTGCTGGGTGCGGGGAACGCTGCGGATGCTGCGGTAAACCATGTGGTCGATGGGGCGGATGTGGAGACGGCTGTGTGTGCATCTGGGGGTGAGACAGTGAGACTTGTGCAACCGAATTACTGCCCGTGGTGTTGAGGCCACTCCCATGACTGTTGGAAACGCTGCTTTGGTTGCTGTGTGGGTGAGTGCTCACTGTACTGCTGGGAGAGTGCTGATAGGAACATGAAGTGTGCGACTGCTGGGAAGACTCAGGAGGGATGTTCATCAAACCTAAAAACAGTCAGAGAAAGCAAGAGCACTTATGGTCAGATTTCAGTTGTATTTTATGACAAACATTTGCAAAACTGTTAACATAAGAAAAGCATAGGATGCCAGGAAGCAACACTGTTTCAATTTAACAAATGCTTATGGAACATCACTACACTAGGCTCTGGGGTTATTGAGAAGATAAATATAATTGCCCAGCCTCAAGTGGAAGAGACAGACATTTAACAAGGTTATGACCAAAAACATAAGTACTAAAGCTAAAGTATACAGAGGATTATGAAAAGTTTGCTCCTTGTCTGTTCAGCTAGGAGGAGGCTCAAAATATAGAGAAGTCTTTTGGGGGTGGGAGGCAGAGTTTTGCTCTTGTTGCCCAGGCTGCGGTGCAATCTAAGCTTGCTGCAACCTTCACCTCCCGTGTTCAAGTGATTCTCCTGCCTCAGCCTCCCAAACAGCCGGGATGATACGCATGTGTCACCATGCCCGGCTAATTTTGTATTTTTGGTAGAGACGGGGTTTCTCCCTGTTCGTCAGACTGGTCTCGAACTCCCAACCTCAGGTGATCTGCCCACCTTGGCCTCCCAAAGTGCTGGGATTACAGGTGTGAGCTACCACACTCAGCAAGAAGCCTTTCTTTTAAAGACAGTGCCTGAATTGAGTCTTAAAAGGTAAGTAAATATTAGGGGAAAAGTTGTTGAGGTCACAGCCCGGATGGCTCTCCGAAGACATACAGACCAAGGCTTTGATAGAAGAGGAGGGGAGAAATAAAAGCCCAGTGATTTCTGATCTCTTCTCAATGGCTACTCCAAAAACTTTAAGGCTGAAAGTGGCTAGGATTCTTATGACTAAACAAAACAAGGTAGCCATCTCCACTATTCTTTTTCATTATTCCTATGGCATATTCTTGAGTCACATTAAAAAGTTTAGGGGTTAAGAGTGTAAACTTTACAGCATCATAAAGTAGCTATTCTCTGCATTGACATTTACACTCTAACTTTGGAAAGTTATTTAACCTCTCCAAGCCACAGTTCCCTCAACTATAAACAATAGCACCTACTTCACAGAGTCATTATGAAGGATTAAATGCCACAGTGAAGGTACAAGCTGCAGGATGAACTCAATAAATGTTAGCTGCCACAATGATGATTAAGCTAAAAGTGTTTAATGTTAAAGATAATATATGTTTGGTTTGCAGGTAATCTTATTGCAACATTTGGTCCTATGTAACTAGACTATTTTCAAATCCCAAAGGGTGGCCCATGCAACATTATGCTGAACCAAACATTAAAAAAATTTCATTAAATAAAAAAACCCACAAGATAATATCAATCAGTAAAAGAATCAAACTTTTTAAAAAGATAAAATTATTCTCATATTTATCATTAGTAGTAAAATTGTATTTGAGTACATTGCCAGATAATCTTAAAAGCTACCAAGTTTTTACAGGCAGAAGAGTTAATAAAAGTTCTTGCCTTGGCCCTACAAAATTGTCATGTAGAAGGAATCTATAGGGTTATTACTGTAAGATCAAAGAAAGCAGTAATTTCATTATCAATTTTCAATAAAATCCTAGCATATTATAAGAGAACCAAGGTCTCATCTATATCAACATTTTCAACCTCAAATAATTTTTAAATAAAAGAAAGCAAAATATCTCTCCAGAGGCCCAATATATAAAGCTGGTAGATATAATAAAGTTGTTTTTTTTTTGAAGCTGGGGAAGGAATCTTACTAGGTCTACGCCTGCATTTGCACATTTCTCCTCCTACAGTCCCTAAGATGTTTACAAAAGCCAAGGCCTCTGAAGAGAACAATGTGAAAATCACTGATCTAATCCAATCCTCTTTATTGTACAAATGGGGAAACTGAGGTCCAGAGATGAGAAGTTAATTCAGTTGGCTTTATGGTAGAACCTGGACTAGAACCCAGAATTCCTATTGATGTTTTTTTTTTTAAAATAGCATGATGGAATGGAATTATGGGCTTCAGAAATTGTCATCACTGTTATCTCAAAGCTCTTATTTTTCTGTTATGAATACCAAGATTGGATTTGCTTAGCAAAGTCTTCTATTAGTTCTTTTTACACTTTTATAGATAAAAAGCTTAAGTTAAAAGCTGAGAAAACATATCAATCTTACTTTAAACTCAAATACTAACCAGAAAAAGCCACTTCACATACACATTATCAATATTCATCAATATAAACAGTATATAACATAACTGTTACGTATAACACTAGTATATAATATTAACATTAACTGACGTTAAGTATTAAAATGCAAACAGTATAAAGACAAGGATTTCTGTTTATTTTTGTTCACTGCTGTGATTATGTAAACTTTCTGAGTTGGGGTGCTATAGTTTGAATGCATGTGTTCCTCCAAAATTCCTATGTTGGAACTTAATCTCCCAGGTGATGGTGTTTGTTAAGAAGTGGGACATAGGCCAGGAGCAATGGCTCACACCTATAATCCCAGTACTTTGGGAGGTGGAGGCGGGTGCGAGGTCAGAAGTTCAAGACCAGCCTGACCAACGTGGTGAAACCCCACACTTAATAAAAGTACAAAAAATTAGCTGGGTGTGGTGCCAGGCACCTGTAACCCCAGCTACTCGGGAGGCTGAGGCAGAGAATTGCTTGAACCCAAGGGGCGGAGGTTGCAGTGAGCTGAGATCACGCTCACTCCAGCATGGGCGACAGAGCGTGACTCCTTCTCAAAAAACAAAAAAAAAAAAAAAAAAGTGGGACCTTTAGGAGGTAATTAGGGATTAGGCCTTACAAAAGGGATTGAGAGAACTAGCTAGTCACTTTTTGTCCTTCTATGTCTTCTGCCACAGGAGGACACAGCGTTCAGATCCATGTGAGAACACAGCTAAAAGGCACCATTTATGAATGAACAAGCCCTTGACAGACACCAAATCTGCTGGTTCCTTGATCTTGACTTCCCAACCTCCTGAACTGTGAGAAATAAACTTCTGTTGTTTATAAATGACCCATTCTAAGGTATTGTAACACAGCAGCAGGAAACATGGGGTACAAAAAGTTAATGTGCCAAACAAGTAACTAGGAAATGCTTCAACAGTAGCGTTCCCAACAATTTCTGACTAGTTGTCTTTGGGGAAAAGATCATGTGACATCTTTATCCTCTGATTAAAATTAAACCAGCAGCTAATGGTACAAGAACATATTACAGCAAGAATCTAGCATTTGGTCGAGATGTAACAGTGCATCCCAACTAAAGTCACTTTTAATATTAAAATCCGACTTAAGTATATTGTGTAACACAATGACCCAGAGTTTACCAGTAGCTGATGTATTAACTTGTAAGTGTCACACACAAAATCAAAAATTTGGTGCTACCACATTCCGATAGCTATCTCTTTTTGCTAATACCAGTCAGAACAAAAGCAAGGGACAATCTACTCTTGTGGTGCAACATTCACCACTCAAACACTTCATATGCCAGATATTACTAATTAATAGAGTAGTCTTTCCCATATGGTATAGATGCAGGGTCAGAATTCTTTAATACAGTGCTCCTGGATGCCACCAGTAAACAAGTAAGTAGGCATGCAAGATGAAATTTATCTGCCATTTTTGGGCTATGATATAAAGAGAACATAGTAAAGGCACAAAGATCAAACTATAATTATCTGATTCTTATTGTCATGATAATATTCTAAGATTAAGAGTATAACAGCTGTCATGTGAAATAATTTTAAAACCTTAATAAAACTAGCCAGGCGAGGTGGCCCACGCCTGTAATCCCAACACTTTGGGAGGCCAAGGTGGGCGAATCATCTGAGGTCGGGAGTTTGAGGCCAGCCTGGCTAACATGGTAAAACCCTGTCTCTACTAAAAATACAAAAAACCTAGACGGATGTGGTGGCGCAAGCCTGTAATCCCAGCTACTCAGGAGGCTGAGGCTGGAGAATCTCTTGAACCTGAGAGAGGCAGAGGTTGCAGTGAGCCGAGATTGCACCATTGCACTCCAAACTATGTGGCTGAGTGAGACTCCATCTCAAAAAATAAATAAATAAATAAAACTGTTATAAAAAAGGTTTTAAGAAAACTCACCTTGCTGACTAAGTGACTGCTCAAAAACTGACTTGTAAAGGCTCCGAAATGAGGCACTAAGATCTTCAAAATTATATTCTGAGAAAAGTAGTTGCTTGTCTCTTTCTGGAAGGTTGTACTGTGGCTGCTGCTGAGAAGTTAATGATTGAGAGACTGATTCTGGATGGCTTGTCACCTAACATTAAAAGAAAACACAACTAATTCAGTGTCTCTACATTACAAATGGCTTATGATATAAAATATATAACCGAAAACAGTGCCAACACTGAAATTCAAAGAAAATAACTCTTCTGTCTTAGGCTTTCCCATTGTCTGTTAAAGCATAAAGAACAGAAAGCAAAACAGTTAAAGTGAATCTTGAAGAACTGTAGAAATCTAACCCAACCTCCATATTTCACAGAAGGGAAAGAAAGACTTCAAAGAAGTTAAATAACTTGCCTAAGATCACACAAATAAGTGATGAGTTAGGCCTAGAATCCTTCTGGCTTTCTATAGAATCTTCAATCTTGATTTCTACAAAAGCAATTTTATCTCAAACTCCACTAACTATAAAGCTACTAATATTTCTTTCATTTATTCAATTAATTTTTTAGTATACAAACCCAAATACTGTGAGTACTATGAGTCAGATGTATGGCTCTGCCCAAAGCAACAAGGAGCTTAAATGTGCCTAACTCTTCATTTCCAGGCAAGACTTATCTTTAAAAGCAGCAAAACTAGAGACAAAATTAATAAAAGATAATCATTTGTATTTCTTAAAGACTACATACTATATGAAAGGGTGGTAAATTACCATTTGTTTAGTGTTTTGAAAAATTAAGGTATGAACACTGACTAGAAACTTATGTAGCCATTCAAAATGATGCTCATAAGGAATCTGCAATAAAATGGAAAAAGATGAATTTTACACAGGAAAATGTCTCCACCACTGGCACCCTAATGACCTTACACATGTCCACACAAACCATGCAGGCAAGGCTGGCTCCATGGCAGGATGACCTAAGCCTTGGTGGAACACCTGTGATTATTTTGGAACAAGTGTTCTTATGAGGAGAAAATTCTCATTAGCCCTCTTGTCTTACAGGAGATGGCCATGGGGCAATTACACATCCACTTTTCTATCTTGTGAGAGGTTGCCAAAAAAGAGTTTCTCATCTATCTCCCTGGCTGAGTGAGGCATGGGACTTTCTGCCTTACTCCCTTAGGGTACAGCTGCAGGTTATAAAACTGCTTGACTGTCCTACAGAATTTGTTCCTCTATTACAGAGTGAGCTACTACTCGAGTTGTCTATCATTTGGTACTGTTATGTGGGATGTAGGGAGTTGACATCATGCTAACCTAGTTTATACTGTCTATATAAGCAATAAAAGTATCTCAATCCATGTGGGCTCATTGTGGCCTTACAGGATCAATCTATATAGATGTGACAAACCCAACCAGCAGCTGCCATGGCACTGTTGCTTAGGGACTGCTCAACCATTTGACATCTTGTTGTTGAAAGAAAACACAGGTCCTGGCACGGTGGCTCATGCCTATAATCCCAGCACTTTGGTAGGCTAAGAAGGGAAGATCACCTGAGGTCAGAAGTTCGAGACCAAAATGGCCAACATGGTGAAACCCTGTCTCTACTAAAAATATAAAAACCAGCCACGTGGCTCACGCCTGTAATCCCAGCACCTTGAGAGGCTGAGGCAGGAGAATCGAATGAACCTGGGAGGCAGAGGTTGCCGTGAGCTGAGATCGCCCCTTTGCACTCCAGCCTTGGCAACAGAACGAGACTCCATCTCAAAAACAAAAACAAAAAAGCAGTCCACAAAGTCTAGCTTTTAACAGGGCAGTTTAACCCTCTTACATTTATCAGCACAATGACCATGTTAACTCTTACTTCTGTCACCTAGTTCTATAAATGCTTCTTTCATTTGTCCTTTTATACTATTTTTTGATACTGGACTGTGTCCTTTGCTTTCTTTTGGTCAAGATTTTTTACACTTAAATTACTCAAAAAACAACTTAAAATTATTTTATATCTTTGCTTAGTTTGCTTCAATGTTCCAACTAGTTGTTTTATAAATTGACTTTATCATTATTCTTTAATTTGATTTACCTCTTGATGGGGTTAATTTTTTTCAGGAAAGATGTGTAAAAACAAAGGCAGGATACTCTCTAAGCTCTGCATATCAAAGAATGTCTTTTTCTTGCCTTCACATATGAATAAATATTTAACTGGGCATAATATTTGTTATTCCAAACCCATTCCCTCAAAACTCTGCATACAATGCTCCATTATCTTCTGGCATTTAGTAGTATCAAAGAGAAGCCTGAGGCCAGGCATGGTGGCTCATGCCTGTAATCCTAGCACTTTGGAAACCCAACAGGGCAGGATTGCTTAAGCCAGGAGTTTGAAACCAGCTTGGCCAAATTAGCAAGACTCTGTCTCTAAAAAGTGAGAGAAAAAGAGAGGGGGAGGTCTGATTTGTGTTTCTTTATATATAATTTACTTATTCTGTCACGGTATTTATATGGGCAATTACTTATGAAATTTAAAAACTTGCCATAATGTGTCTAGATACAGTAGTCCTTTGGTATCCATGAGGGATTGGTTACAGGAACCCCAACCTAGTAAGATACCAAAATCTGTAGCTGCTCAAGTCCCTTATACAAAATGATGTAACATAACCTCCCATATACTTCAAATCACCTCTAGATGATTAATACCTAATACATTCTAAATAGCTGTTAAACTATACTTTTTTCTTTTTTATAAAAGGAAGGAAGGAGGGAGGGACTCACTTAATTGCCCAGGCTGAAGAGGAATGACTTGATTACTCCTGGGTTCAAGTGCTTCTCCTTTCTCAGCCTCCTGAGGTGCATGCCACAATGTCGGGCTATATCTATTTTTTAAGACGGGGGTCTCACTATGTTGACCAGGTCAATCTCAAATTGCTGGTCTCAAGTGATCCTCTTGCCTCGGCCTCCCAAAGTACTGGGATTACAGGTATGAACCACCTCATCCCATCCTGTATTTTTTATTGCTGTACTGTTATTTTTTTAAATTATTTTTTGTTGTTCAAATATTTTCAATCTAAGGTTTGGTTAAATCTGTGGATATGGAACCTACAGATACGGAGGGCTAAATGTATAGGTTTTTTCCCCATTAATTTTTTCTAGAACTCAGTAACTCTTTAAATCTCTGCTTACTGTGAAAACTGGTTCTATACCAACTTTTTCTTCTATAGCGACAACTATAATCTCAGTTCTCCATATTTATTGTCTTCTTTCACATACTTTTTATTCCATTTTCTTTCTTCTCCATTGTGGGATATTTTATTTTCTTTTATAAAGCAATAATAATATTGCAGAGGCAACTTTTTCTTTTCCCAAATTCAATGTGAATTTTAATTCTGCTCTCTGTGTAACTAGTTCCCTTGTGTTATTTTCTCTCAGGTCCCTCCCTTTTTATCTTTGTCCTGTGTAAGTTTTTTCCTATTTACTCATCCCGGAACAGGGAGTGACCTGGTAAGACCACATTTACACTGACAAACAATGTGGTGTGTGGCTCTTGGGCTCTGTTATCTGCCCACTGAGGAAGACAGTTGCCAGGTAGTTTGAAAAGAAATAACAGATAACCTAAGAGTCAAGTTCTTGTAATAGGTAACAAATTAGTATATTCACACACAGGTCCCTTTATGGCATATTTGTTTTTCCCCCTGAATCCAAACTGAAAATACAAGAGTAGTTAACAATTGAATCCCAGGCCACCCTAACCTTTGGGGTTTACAGAATTCCCTTCTCAGGTCTACAGCTGAAACCATGTTGATACACACATTTTCTATGCTCTTTTTCTAAGAAGTGTAGAATATCACCAACTATCGCTCTACTAGACTAAAGGGCATTTTTTTCCCTGTTCCAATTGCTTATCTCTTGGACACAGAACAGAGAGAATAAAGCAGACCAAAAAACTGTTAACACTGCACGACCATTTTTAAAAAATCTAATATGGTACCAAATTAAAACACTATCAAGCTACAATCTCCTCTAATTTAGTTTGATCTACTTAGTGAGTTAATAAATTTATTAGTGAGAAAAACATATCTTATTTTTTTATTTGCATTTCAATTATGTTTTGTTTAGTTTTAAGTACTAAATGAATAACTAAAAACATGTTAACTTCATCAAGACTTACCGGTGTATAACTATGCACACTTCCAACACTGTTCAAATTAACAGATGCCAAACTCTGGTCTGAGAGACTGTTGTTAAGGCTACTGCGGGGACTATCACTACCATCCTGATCAGTGTTATACAATGTTACCTAAAATGAAAAAAAAAAAAAAAAAAAAACCAACAACTGAATATAAGGAGTACTTGTTAGGCAACTCTGTAAAAATACAACTCAGCAGGCATATGACAAGAAGAAAAATGTCAGTGGCTTTTCCCTAGATGCTTACCCCAATTCCATGCCTCATATGGCTAACTTCATGTTTATCCTAAAATAATTTTCTCAACACTCAAACTAAAGAGCATGTCTTTGAGAGGCACATAAATTTATAGCAGAATTTACCAGGTATAATTATCAGGTATAATTAGCCCATAAACATTTAATAAGAGAGGAATATAATAGATTTTTACTCTATTAAATATTTCTATAATGCATAAATTTTTGCTCAAGCTTTAAGCAAAATTACTATCAGAATCTTAGAAATCAAAAAGAAGCACATATAAAAAATATTTGTTTTTAAAAAATCACAGGCATCACAGAATTTTTAATACTGAAAATCAGAAACTTCATTGTTTAGCACATTGATAAAATCATAAATATATGATCCAACTTCTTAAAAAACTGTCAAACTGTTAATAGTTATCTGGAAAGGGCTGAGGACTCCTGAAGCCTTTTACATTTGTGTATATTTTTACAGTGCTTCAGTTTGTCTATAATAAGCATTAGATAGACATAATTTTTAACTAGAAACAACAAAAAAGGTATTTTTAGAATAGAAAACTAGCCTAACTATTCTTCAAGGTTTTGTTCAGATTCTACTATCAACTTTATACCCACCTATTTCCAGGAGAATAATTAATATATTTGGCTTTATGGTCTTATTTGTAGCATACTTTTATCTACCACTAGATTTACCTCCTTGAGTTCCCAACAAGTACTCACAAACCATAGTGTTTTTGGCTCAGTGTAGAGTTAATAAGCATTTGCTGAATTCAGTAACCAGCTGACCATCCTTCTGTATGTGCTGAAAATGGGGTCAGACTCAATGCTCACTGACAACTGTTTAAGAGGATCAATAAGTGGAAAACTAGGCATAAATGCCTCTGCTTCAGGCAAACCTAAATTGTTCTGCAATGACACCAGTTAGGAACAGTTAATTGTCTAGGAAATACATAAGGGAAAAGAATGTAAGAAAAAATAAGAGTGAATAAAATAAAAACTCTGGCAAAGATTTTTCTGGTAAATATTTCCCATGTAAATTTCACTGCACTCAGGAATAATTAAAAAGCTATACAACAGGCTGGGCACGGTGACTCACACCTGTAATACCAGCACTCTGGGAGGCTGAGGCAGGCGGATCACAAGGTCAAGAGATCTAGGCCATCATGGCCAACATGGTGAAACCCCATCTCTACTAAAAACACAAAAATTAGCTGGGCATGGTGGCGCACGCCTGTAGTCCCTACTACTCTCGGAGGCTGAGACAGGAGAATTGCTTGAACCCAGGAGGCAGAGGTTGCAATGAGCCGAGATCACGCCACTACACTCCAGCCTGGTGCCTGACAACAGAGTAAGACTCCATCTTAAAAAAAAAAGAAAAAAGAAAAAAAAAAGCTATATAACAATATCAACAAATTATAAGCATCCCATTGTCTTTTACTTGGCTGCCCATTCTCTCTTGTCCATGCTCAGTTGCTTATCTCTCATGCCAGAAATATCCTCCATCATCTTAGACAACAAATTATTTTATTATAAAATCAGCATATCCATGTATGATCACTACCCAGTTGAAAGTAGAGAACAGCAGTTTTCAAACATTAGTCTCAGATCCCTTTTCTGTCTGGCTTAATAGAAAACAGCTAGATTCTCGTATCTACATCTGCATTCAGTCTGTTGCAATATGTTGTTTGGATAGAAGTATAGAAAGAAAACGTGGTGAAAGATTATTTTAAAAGGCTTTTCAGATGTTCTTTGATACTACATCGAAACATGACATGTAGCAATTTTTTAAACATTAGGTACAGTGTGGAATCTGAAACCACATCAACAAATATTTGATACTCTGTTTCACTTAAATCCACTATTGTACCTCATACTTTGAATGAATCATGTATCCATGCTTGATTTTATAACATATGCATTGCCCATTTAGGAAATATTGATTCACTAAGTTATGCAGACCTTCCAAATGTTGATATATTTTATGATACAACAAAAATATTACACTTACATCACCACTAATCTTACAAGAAAAATCATTTCTTCTAGGAAGTGGCTGGATGCAGTGGCTCACAGCTAGAATCACAGCACTTTAGGAAGATTGCTTGAGGCCAAGAGTTTAAGACCAGCCTGGGCAACATATAGCAATACCCCATCTCTACAAACGACTTAAAAAATTAGGTGGCATGTACCCTGTAGTCCTAGCCACTTGGGAGGCTAAGGTGGGAGGATCACTTGAGCCCAGGAGGTCAAGACTGCAGTGAACTATGATTGTGCCACTGAACTCCAGCCTAGGCAACAGGGCAAGATTCTTCGTCTCAGAAAAGGAAAAAAAAAAAAAAAAAAGACTCCAATGGATAAAAGTTTTCCAAAATTCTATTTTTTATTTTTGCTTAAAAGCTAAAATTTTATCAATAGCAACAAATACTATCAGTTCTTTTCCTTGAAGTGATAGATGGACTTCGTTCACTTTCAAGAAAACGTCGGCCAAATACCTAAATAATCATTGTCACCTGTTCTTTCAAGAACAGCAATCCATGAACAAAGTATTCAGTGTAGCTTGAACTCAGTCACACAAATGCTTTCCCTTGAAGCAACCAGTTTACTTGGGTTTGTAGCTAGAAGTGCTGTAAACATACTCCACATTTCATCACACACAATATTAAAAAGACATGTATTCAAAGGTCATGACTTAGTAAAACTTTTTCAGATAATCAAACATAATTAGAAATATAATTTGTCACAAATACTAATTGTTTCTCATAAATTATTTCAAAACTTCAAAAAAAAGAAAAAAAAATAAAACTTTTTCTTGCTTCACCAAGGATATTCTTAAAACTAGCATTAAAAATAAAACTGAACTAAGGGTAGGTATGTGAGTAAATAATATAATGACTACTGGTGCAGTTAAGTGTCACTGCCTTGATTTGTGCTAAGGTACAGAAAGGTTTACACATCATTGCTTCTGCACCTGATGAATATGCAAATATAGGTCAAGCGTGGTGGCTCACACCTGTAATCCCTACACTATGGGAGGCTGAGGCAGGTGGATCACAAGGTCAAGAGATCGAGACCATCCTGGCCAACATGGTGAAACCCCATCTCTACTAAAAATACAAAAATTAGCTAGGTGTGGTGGTGTGCGCCTGTAGTCCCAGCTACTCAGGAGGCTGAGGCAGGAGAATCACTTTAATGTGGGAGGCAGAGGTTGCAGTGAGATGAGATCATACCACTGCATTCCAGCCTGGTGAGAAACTCTGTCTCAAAAAAATAAAATAAAATAAAAGCAAATATAAAGAAAGAGACAACACATGTTATCATGAATAAGAGTTTTGACCTCAGTTACCTAGGTATCCAGAGACCACACTTTGAGAATCACTGATAAACTGTATTACCAGCACTCTAGAAGTTCATGTACTCTTGCAGTCATCGTGCATGTCAGTCATTATCCCTCCCATTTCTCCCCAGTTAACCAATTCTATCACTATTAATTGGTTTTCCTATTTTTGAATTAAGTATAAATGGAATCATATAGGATATACCCTTTTTACAAGGCCTTGTTTTCTATTACATTAATATCTACCCTTAATCTTTATTTCCTTCTTTCCTTTTCAAAATTCCTTATTTTTTGTGCAAGAGCTTTATTGTTTTATCATTTATATATTTGGAAGTATAAATCTTCCATGTTTTATCTTTTTCTTCAATATTTTCTTTTCTTTTTCATTTTTTTTATTTTGATTATCATGTTTGGAATTTTTTGATACAGTTTTTTACTTTGTCGCCCAGGCTTGAGTGCAGAGGCATAGTCTTGGCTCACTGCAACCTCTGCTTCTCGGGTTGAAGCGATTCTCCTGGCTCACCCTCCTGAGTAGCTGGGATCACAGGTGCCCACCAACACGCCTGGCCAATTTTTGTATTTTAAGTAGAGACAGAGTTTCACCATGTTGGTCAAACTGGTCTTGAACTCCTAACCTTGTGATCCACCCGCCTTGGCCTCCCAAAGTGCTGGGATTACAGGCGTGAGCCACCACGCCTAGCCTTCAATATTTTCTTTAGCTACCGTTGGTCATTTGGTGTCTCATTTTTGCTGAACTATCAGCTATTTTCTACTCACTGCCTCTCTTTCCACAAAGAACATTTGGACTGGAATCACATTAAATCTGTGTACAACTTTGGGAAAACTGACTTCTTTTACAATAGTCTTCTGCATGAAAATTCTATCTATTTATGACTTCGTTTTCAATAATTTTTTACAGTGTTCTGTGTAGGGTTCATCTTTCATTTAAGCCAAGGTATTTGATGTTTCTGAATACTAACATAAGTGTTATCTTTTAAATTTTGTTTTCAAACTATCTGTGCCTAGTATGCAGAAATAAAGTTGATTTCTGAAATTAAACATTAACCTTCTATTAAGAAACTTCACTAAATTCACTTTTTAATTCTAAGGCTTTAAGCTGTAACTCTTTTCAACTTTTTGTGATCATCTGAGGCAACTTTATTTCTGTCTTTCCAAACTTTATGCTTTGTATTTCGTTTTTGTAACTTCTTACTGGCAAGGACCTCCAACACAATGTCAAATAAAAGTGCTGATAGCAAACATCTTTCTCTTCTGTACCTCAGAGAAAGTTTTCACTATTTCACCATTTAATGTAGCATTTGCTATAGGCTTCTTTGTAGGTTTTATCACATTGAGAAAACTTCCATCTATTTACAGCTTTCTAAGGTTTTATTAAGTCATGACCTCTGGGTATGCCTTTGTAATATTCTGCATGATAAAATATGGAGTATACATGGAGCACTTCTCACTATCAGAAGAACAACAGCAACAGGTTTCCTAGTGCTAGACCTAACTTGCATTTCTAGAATACAACTGT